ACGAGGCATTTCAACTGAGGACCTATCCTGGCAGATACCTCAGTGATAATCTTGGGATATTGAACTATCGACTGTGTAGAGCGAGGTAACTTTTAGAATTGTCGCACTTGAATTCGAATAACAAAAACAGTGTTGTCTTTGTCCCATTTCCAGGAGGTGCGTCGAGAACGCATTCGTAATTTTGGTTACTGGATTCCGCACCTTCCGCAGGCCAATCGGCCTCTCCCAGACTACGCCACTGGAGTCATCTTTGCAGCTTGTGTACTGCACAACTACCTACGAGACAGTAAGTTGTACATGCGAAATACCTGTGCTGATGAACTTGACCACTTCGGCAACATTATTGTGCAGTGGCGCAAGAAGGCCTCTCAGCAGACGAATGCGTTGTTCCACCTGCCGTGGCTGAGATCGCGGCACCTAAAACAATCTGCCCGAAAACGCAACACAGTGGCCACTGCCGTGAGAAACCTGTACTGCAGGAACTTTGTAAAGGAAGGCGCAGTGTCATGGCAAAGGAACGCGCTGGCCTGAAATCCTAAACAGTGTCAGTGGTATTGTGTCGAATCCCCAGGTTTTCAAGTTTTTGTGTGTAAGGACCGTCTGGCCTATTTCAGTTGGAACAGGGAACTGATGCCATCATTAGAACAATACTGCGCCGCTGTGAGTTAGCTACTTTTGAACGGGCGCTGTGGTGTGAGACGGCCTGCGTGTCAGGCCCACTAGGTCTTTGAACAGAGAAAGTGAAACATCTGTATTGTACCAAGACCGTTGCTACCGGAGAGAGATGAAATTAGGGGCTCTCCTTGTCCATGTACGTTCTTAATGTGCTTAACTAGGAGTGGCCATAATTTATACTCTGCCGCCCGCGGAGGAGTGACCCAATCCTCCCAGCTTTATGGAAGGATAAGTGGGGCGAGTGTTTTCAGTGCACGCTCTGCAAGATCCCGAACTGACGCGCAGTCCTTAACTTGGTGTATGAGAGTTGTTTGGGTAGTCTCTGAAGTATGCGCATTTAGGTGGTTCAGAGAGGTCGGCAAAGTGCTGGAGGATAGTGTAGTGTTGAGAGGGAGTGTGTTTGTACACGACGAAGAAGCTTAGCATCTGTCCTCTCTGTTGTGTGGGGTGGGCACTAGGGAGTTATGTGGTTATGGCGAAACTATTACAGAAGGCACGGTGAGTTTCCTTCTCACCGTGCCTTGCGTTGTAGCTTCCAAGTCACCTAAGTGTCGAATTCGTCTGGCCATTGATAAGGGGTACTCGGATCGTCGGAGGCGTGCGTAGTTAAATGGGCGGCCTCGCAGCACCGGCGGAAAATGCAGATATTTGCCTTTTTGCGCCAGTGCACCCCAAGACTCCAGCAACGTGTTATGTTTCTCTTTCTTCTTATCTAATGTCCGCCAGGAAGGTGAGCCAGTACTTGATTTTTTTCTTTTGTACTTGCAACTTTTTCGTTTTGTTAGTTGTTATCTTTCAACATTTGAAGAGAGTAATGAAATATATATATATATATATATATTTTTTTTATGGATCATCCCTGCCTGATGTTACCTCTCTAGTTCATTTTTACACTGAACCTGTTACCTGTAAATCAGTCAAACTTTTTTTTTTGTATAAAATGGGTTGTGGTTTTTGCCTCTTTTACGAACAAACTGGCGGACACTTTTTGTGGCAGGTATTGCCCAAAGAAAATCGACAGTACCGGCTGATCCCCCAGAGGGAGGTAATATTTTCCTGTTTTAGTTGGGCCTATGATGCCCAAGCGTATCTTTACTTAACATACAATGCGTTTTATCAGCCGATTCTCATAAAATGAACGCCACGCTGGACCGACGCTGGACCACACTCTAGTGGTGCAAAACTAGCGATAAATGGACTATCGATACTGTCGATAGTTTTTCCAAAACTATCGGTAGTGTCCCAGAACTATCGATAGTCGGCTATCGATAGTAATACTGATAGTTTTATTATAGTCGACTATCGATAATACTATCGATAGTTCTTTTACTATCGATAGTCAGACTTCTGGCGACTATCGAAACTATCGATAGCACTATCGTTAGTTTTGCACCACTTGCAGCGGGTCTCTCTTTGCCTGCTTGTCTTCCAGGTTCAGCCAGATTCAGCGGGCTACCGCATAGTTTAGGTTCACAACAGTGGGACTTTTTTGTTTTTCTTTTTCTGTTTGTTCCGAGGTAGAAAGGGCGACTCGTACAGAAGGCGCCAGCTAGTGCCGCCGAGGATGGCGCCGTATGCTCCGCATGCAGTCTGCGTGCGCGCCGCGAAGTTTCGCGCGCGTTTGTAGTCGTATTCGCGTGCGGAGCGAACACAGTTGCCCCACCGCCCCTCACCTCCCTTCCTGCTCTCTTCGCCCAAACTCCCATCTTCGCCATCACTGAAAGCTGAACCAAATTTGGGATGGTAGGTGTGGGCTATTTGGTGTCCCATTTGGAAAAAATGAAGCGAGAAAAAGAGAAGAGGGAGTGACGCAAACTACTAGTGTCGCAAAACTATCGATAGTAAACCGTCGACAGTACTATCGATAGGTTTACGATAGTCAACTATCGATAGTTTTCCGATAGTCGATTAATGATAGTTTTTGTTACTATCGATAGCTTTTCGATAGTCGAACATGGATAGTTTTTCGATAGTCGGCTATCGATAGTACTATCGGTGTTTTTTTTTTACTATTGATAGTCAAATTTCTGGCAACTACCGATACTACCGATGTTACTATCGATAGCTTTGCACCACTACCACACACACATCGTGTGAGTGTGTGAACGTGCAAAACACATTCTGTACTCCCTCAGTCTAGGTCAGCATGAACAAGCTTACGTAAATGTTTAGCTTTTTTTACTCAAAACAATATTAGTGATTGCGAACATGACAAAAATAAAGATAAAGGAAACGACATAAAAAACAAAGGTTGTCAGATGTAAAAGAAAGCCAAAACAATCATGTTGGTGAAATAATGACAAAGGATGCAGGAAACCAAATTTTCACAGGATTTGTATGAGAAACCCACAGGCATTTATCATAGTCGGACCATCCCAAAATGAAGGGGGGGGGGGGGGGTGAGAGCTCAGCTGGGAGCAGAATCGTTTTTACGGAGGCTCTTTCGACGGAAAATAGTAAGTTTGAATTGCTTTTTTGGGCAGAGAACGCTCGTGCACACCATGAGCGCTCTCACGAAATCTCGCTTGAAAGCATGCCACGGTCGCTCGTGAATCCATGGAACGCGATCATGTGTCTTCATACCAGAAACAACAGAAGCAGGGCAGATGGGCCAATGTACTCCACGCGTGCCCCGTGAGGACCTCGGAAGGAAATTGCTGCGCAGCACTGGAAGGAGCTATCAAGGCGCCGCGTTGATTTATCTCGCGCGTTTACATATCAATTGTTGTTGGCACTCCGTAAAAATGGGAAACTCGATTTTTATCAAATAGCTTTAATTACAAAATGGCGTTCAGCGCTTCTCGGTTTCTTGACAGGCCTTCGTGCCGTCTCCAAACAGATTTGAAGAAAGTATTTTCTACTATGCAGCGAGTAACATATGCAAAGTGATCGAACACAAGTCTCAATTGTTGTCGCCTGCTATTTTACGAAGGAAGCAACCACAACCCTCGCGTGGTACGCAAACGCCAATTTGTTTTAATGCCGATTTCAAACTTACATCTCCCTGCGAAAAACATTCACTCATGAGGAGCACATCCGCCACCCTACCCCCGCTGCGAATTTTGAAGACGACGACGTAGGTGACGCCTTTTTCGTATTTTTCATTTCCACGTTACTATGACCACCGTGACGTCTTTTACGAGCCGCGTTTTGCTGGTTGTCCGTCCCCTTCGCAAGAGCGGCGTCGCAAGGAAAGTTGGGCAAAATACGGGATCACGAATTTGTCGAATTCCCACCGCAACTGCGTTGTATCGCAAGAACGGCGTCGCAGTTGCGAAATCGCAGGTAAATTCGCACCATGTAAATCAGGCATAAGTTGCGTTCAGAGCGACCTACGCGACAGGCTGATACAACAGTGACGGAGGAGTCACCGGGACTGCTGTTCGCATCACACGACACGAGAAGCAACGTAAGGCACACCTAATTCGTTAGGCCATTGTCAGTCAAGGTGTTCTCTGCGGCACTGCTGTTACTGCCGTTTTCGTTGCTATGGGCGCAATGAACGCAACACCTCTCGCGTTACTTTAGTGGCCATCGCGCCAACCGCCGACAACGTGCAATCACAGAAGCCACAAGACACGAGCAGAACTCGACAAATGACCTATCCACGCCGGATCAGCGCTTTTCCGCTAAATGCCGTTCGTTTTGCTGGAGGGGTGGAGTCGCGAATGCTTGCGAACAACTTTCTGTGACATTTTTGAAGAGAGAAGAAGAGGGTGTGCGCAGCTTTAATCGACGCACAAGGAGCTTGAGCGCGCACGATCTCGTACCACTGACTGCATAACCTCAAATTGTTGTGCGTATGTTAATACAGCAAGAAGTTAGTCTGCCTCAGTGGGCGTCTGGTGTCTCAGCCGTCGATGAGCAATTTAGACAGCGCGGTACAACCGCTAACCTGGGGCCTTTAACGTGCACCCCGCAGTAGTGATACCCGACCGCACGCCGGTACGATACTCATCCAGATCGAAATGGGCAGGGGTGGGGGTTCAGCCCAGGATCTCGGGTTCTGCAGCGCGAGCTTTCACTCCACGTGCTCCGAGATGGTGTGCGCTAGACTACTCGGGTACCGATCACACCCACATAAAGTTGTGCCTTAATAAAAACAACAACAAAAAAAAAAAAAAAACGCGAACGAGTCAATTTAGAGGGTACAGAATTATACCCGTGCCACATGGGCAACCCGAATGCCATTTACAACGAATGACATTTGTGTGACCGGCGAATCAGCTCGCAAACTGCCGCGCGTGGAATGCGCTACGCCCGGAGTGTCGCCCGCTGACCAACAATGACAGTCGCTGTGCGTAGCAATGCAAGGGTGTACTCACGGGCGCCTTTAACGAGCGAGGGACGACTTCGCTTGCCTTCTCCGAGTCAGTCAAGTGTTTTCAGAAGCGGAGTTATCGGCGCCCGAGACAAAGCGAGCGACGGAAATCTGGAGGCGTGCCATCGCGAAACAAAGAAAGAAAAGGAAGACGGCTTCCTTTGGTGAAAGGAGGAACTTCCGGCTTGTTATTGCGGACAGCGTCAGGATTAGCGGATGGAAAGCAGGAACTGCCGGTGAATGTAACTTCCATCATGATTGATCAAGATGACGCAAAATATTTTTATATTGTCTTTTGCAATTTTTTAACATCGAAAGTTGTTTGATTTCTTAAGGTATAATTTGATAATTGCACGAAGAAAAATTTACCTTAGAGATTTATTTCAAACCACTTGTCAATATATGGGGTGTTTCACAGAACGGGGTGAAAATCGCGCCTGCGAAAAGCACGCATCGCGCGCAAGAAAAGTGATGTCCTTTTGCTCTTCCCCCAAGGACCTATTTAGGAAAATAATAACGTTTGATATAACTAGGTTCTTAATTAGCATTGAGTGATTAACTTCTAGAGCGCAGCTCTTAGGCGCCCGTTTCCGGCTTGAGTGGCGTCGGCGTCGCCGTCGGCGTAACCGCGCGGTGCATTATAGGACGCGTGACGTCACTGATGACGTCATCGGTGACGTCATCGGCATCAGGATCGTCATGAATGACGTCATCAGTGACGTCACTGATGACGTCATCTGCATCGTCCTCGTCCATGATGACGTCATCAATGACGTCACTGATGACATCACCGTTATCGTCACGTGACTTCATAGGAGTCCCGTGAAGTCACGTGACCCCCGTGAGGTCACGTGACCCCGGTGACGTCACGTGACCCCGGTGACGACACGTGACCCCCGTGAGGTCACGTGACCCTCGTGAGGCAACGGTGACGCCCCTCGGAGGGAGGAGTAGCAGACAAGATGAGGAGGTGAGGAGGAGGGAGGAGGGATATACCGTTCCTTCAGTACGCTTCCCCTCCTCCTCCTCAAGAGTTGCGCTCTAATCCGGCGTTACAGGGAGTTGCAAATGACTTTCATTTTTTTTAACTAGTAGATTTCAAGACTTGGTTTCAATTAGAACCGTCTTTAGCACCATCAAAAGCCACCAAATCAGCGCACTTTACATAAACATAAGGTACGTGTAGCTTAAGATGGTTAAGGAAAGAATTAAAAAAAAAAAAAAACAAGAAACAATACAACAACACTTTATTCAGCGCTGAAAACAGCGTTGGGTCTAGCATTGATGCAGCACTTTCGAATACTGTCGTTGGCGCAGTGTCACGTATCGAACCTGATACGCCGAAAGGTTGTGTCACGATGCTTATTTTTAAATACTTATTTCCGTTGAGATCAACGGAATTAAGTCAAAAAGTTGATAAATGAAATTTTAAAGCCATAATAAATAGATTGGCTGAATACTCGGAGCGTTTTCAGCTCCTTGCTTTGGGAAACAGTGTAGATGCTACGCGGGACATTTAAAAAAAAAGTGTTTATTAGAATGAAATGACAAATACGTTCCGGCTAAGTTTATACGTGCGAAAGCAAAAACGGATGAGCCATAGATGACCGCTGCCGTTCGAATACTCATGAATAAACGCAGACGTGGTTATCAGAAATGTAAAAATTCTATGCAATTCTGCGTCTGTGAAACTCGAGAAACTGAATTGAACCTACGCGGTGCGCAAGTTCGTCTGCTTCTTGCACGGGGGTTTCGATGACGTCAAAACGCCGAGCTCTTATTGGCCGATTGAAAAAAAATAATGGGCAGATCTAGAGGCATCTAACATTGTGGTCTACCCACTGTCCTTTTAATCAGAACCAATCAGGGCTCGGCATCTTTCTGACGTCACCGCAACTCCTGCGCAGGAAGCAGACGACTTGCTCTCCGCGTAAGAAATTTATTAGCACGGCAAAACGAGCGCACTTTGACAAACTTTCAGAGGAGATGCGACAAAATATTAAAGATTTCTGGAAATCGTTGCGAGGGAAGCGTAAGGAGGCTATGGAAATTCCAAATACTTTATATATTGACAAATTAATTGAAGAAAGTGACAAAAATAATCAATTTCAATAAATATCTGTATTTCTGCCTCTAACGCCAGAAGAAAGTTCTCATCCCCTTCTCGACGAAAATATAATTAATCATATGCAACCCGTGGTCATTAGTGTTGAAGGCATAAAGAAATGCTTAGATGAGCTTCATGTTAAGAAGGCGGTAGGCCCTGATGGATCGTCAAATAGAGTTTTAAAGTTGTGCTCATTGATTGCGTCGTGCTATTATATTCTGTTTTGTAAATCTTTAGAAGAGAGTGTGCTGCCATATGAATAGAAAATGACGCATATCACGGCAGTTCACAAGCATACGTAAAATAAACTAATAATAAAAAAGAACGTTGAGAATTTACGCCTTAACACACTGAGCTGTATATGCTGTAAGATTGTAGAACATAGTATTTATAGCTGCGTTGCTAAACATCTCGATATGAACAGTTATTTTTCTCTTACTGAGTATGGTTTCAAAAAGGGTCTCTCATGCGCTACACAGCCCGTCGAACTTTAACGTGATTTGGTTTTAACCGCAAAAAAAGAAAGTGAAACTTTTTTCTTTTTTTTTTTTAAATTTCTGCAAAACTTTTAAGAGTTATTGTTAAACAAACTGAGCTCCCTAAACGTTGAGGTAACGTATACCGATAGGTTGGAAATGGTATTTCTGGAAGAAGGCAATGTGTCGTCAATAATGGTGAAAAATGTGATTTTATCGACGTGGGGTGTGCAGCAAGGGACAGTCCTACTACCTCCTTTATATCTTGCATTTATCAATGACATGCATTGGCATTACCTGGTCTTTTAGGCTGTCCGCGGATGACTCTGTATTGTACAGCAGAGTAGATAATTCTAGTGATTTTGCTGTTTTACAATCAGACCTAGATGTATTATCGAAATGCTTTAAGACTTAAGAGTTGGATTTCAATACTGAAAAGTATGTGCAGAACACTTTTGGGACGAAACGAAATCCTTCTCCCTCATACTATTTTATCAATGATAAAAATTTGGGTATTAAGACTGACGTTAAATATCTGAGGATTACTTTGTCAGGAACCCCCTTTAAAGAGACAGCTTTATGGGCGACACTTTGCAGAGATTTCGTCCTCGTAGGTTGTCGTCGCCGCACGCGCGCGAAGAATGGAAAAACTTTTTTCTCTTCCCTCTTATCGCGAGGAGAGGGAAGTCGGGACTTCCCGTCGGCCGTACTTACCGTGCCCGGGAAGAAAGCGAATAGGGCCCTGGGTACTTGCCAAGTTTTGTGCAACGAAGGGATAATCATCGTGTCGTCTGCTTGAAAGACTTGTTTTCAAATGGCAGTGACTGTTTAGACGTTCATCGTCAAAGTATCTCAGAAACTATTTAGACGTTTATGACGTTACTCCTGTAAAGTATCAAAATAGTGACTTTGTCAGGTTTATTATTTTGACGTCCCCCGCCCCCGACAAAGCAGCCGTGGCAGTGGTAGCCGTTTCACGGTTTTGTCAGTTTTGTTGTTTCGTTTTGTCTAGTTTCTGATTGGGGGGGGGGGGGGGGGGGGTGGGGGGGTGTTACCAGTGTTGTGTTGACGCGTTGACGGAGTCATCTGTAGCGTGCCTAAAAAGTTTCGTTCCTAGTTGATAGAGGAGATGTTTTATTTGGCATGCATGATGGGACTGGCTAGACATTTGCCACTTTCGGACATGACACGCCCAGCGGCAATGTTCTGAGCTCTCGCACGTCATTTTGGCACGCTTTCCACTTAAACTTTTTAAATCTACAGCAAAGGCGAGCTTGATATCCCTCTGGATTGCCTGCACGTAACGAATGTAATTGCGTACACTGCGTAACATAAAACTTTAGCACGCTTTTTGTTCCTCCATATCGTGCGAGCGCGTCTTCGTATGGTTGCAGCCTTGGTTTGCATCTGAATCCCGCCTTGTTTTTAACCGGACTTCGTGAGTTTGTTGCTTAGTTTAAATTTTATTTTCAATTTGTGTATAACGAGCGGGTTAAGTAGGAGACGATCGAGATGTTAAATAAAAATCAGGAGCCATTCCACTCTGCGAAGGTGTATGACCAGCGAAGCTGTTTAGCACACGACACTCCCGCCCCGATGAGCCGGAGGAAACTAGACACGCGCGACGGGACCGCCGCCCCGGGAGGGCGGAAGCAAAGGAAACTGGGCACGCAAGCGGCTTGGCACGACGACAAAGAGAGGGCGGTGCGAGCGTAGACATGGCCGACGCAGGTCGCACAGTGGAAGATATTTGAGAAACCTTTATTATCTACCTGAGAGTTAACCGATCTTGAAAATGGTGCCTATTGATAACTGAATATACCTATTGGTAAATTACCCAAGCATCAAGGAGAATGCAGGAAATGGTGTCCCACGCGCCGTATACGTACCGGCGTCTGCGGCAGTAACTGTTCTAAAGCAAAAGCCTAAAACAAATGGCATCTTGCACGCGCGATCGTCAACGCTTTATTTTGAACATTTACTTAGAATATTTTATACGGGGAAGGCGTGCGTGTGCGAAGCGTGCAGCGCGTGAGGCGGTGCGAGCGTAGAGTTTTTGGTGACGCACACGAAAAATCCACAGAACCATAGCCATAAGCAGTTTCGCTGTAAAAGGTGTGAATGCAAAAATTTCCTCCTTGATGTTTCTTGACCGGTGCGAACGAACAAAGGTTCAGGCGTGGTTGTACAATATGCACGCAATTTCCAATCAACTACAAATTTTATGGCACGAGATTCAGCTCCTTTGAATATATAAAAACGCAAAATTAATCATAAAAAAATGACGGTGCCGCATTCTGTAATGTCGGGCACAACCAAGCAAACGTTTCGTGCGGCTTGATAGCTTATGTTATACTTTGATAATTTTTTTAGCATTTTACATTACTTGAAAGGTTATAAAAACTGTGGTCGACTGCACTTTTTTTTTCGAAAAGTGCGTGTTGAGTTGCAACGCAACCTGCAAGAAAGATGACATTTGTTTGACCGCCACTTTCGAACTCCTTCTAGTCAGAACTTCGAAGCTCCAAAGCTCCAAAGTTCTAACGGTACTAAGTTTGTGATGTCAAAATAAGAAGAAACAAATATTTTGACGTTGCACGTGAAAATAATTTGAAAATATTTTACGTCTTCAAGAAGTGGCGTCACATAAGTTAATATAATACGCAAAATTATTTTGAAAGTGAACGTTGAAATAGTCACTACCTTTTCAAACATTACTCGGGTTATGTATAATTCCATTTTGGCAGTATCCAGTTGCTGCTCGTAATGCTGTATAGTTTAATGGACTATGCCGAACATTTGTTTTGGGCTGCAGCGAGAAAAAATCAACATAATGTGTCATACTGAAATGAATTCCGAAACAAAAGAAAACGAAAAAAAAAAAGAAAAAAAAAAGACAAGAGCAAATATGCAACAACGTATCAAAATACACCCTTTTCAAAAATCTATCCGGTAACATTGATGGTCGCCATTTCTTGGGCACGAAGCGCTTGATTGGATCCGAGTGCTGGCCGAACGCTGACGTCATACTCGTATCCAATACGAGCTGAGCCGAGCTCACGCCGAACGATGACGCAGCCTTTGCGTCCAATACATACTCAGAGTGTGCGAGCAAGCAATGGCGGAAAGACGATGGCGCGGACTTTTGAGAGGGTCTACATCTGGAGGGTCTACTTTCCCGCAAAGCGCTTGGGAGAGCCTATGGTTGCCATCTGCGGAGGACCATGGCCAGCCTTCTCGGACACGCTGTATTAGTTCCCGATTCGCACGCCGCGTGGCGTATCAACCTTGAGCAAGATAAACGGAGAATTCGAAGCTCGGAAGCACTATCTGAACCTCGTCTCCTGTGCATCTCTCCGGCCGCCGACCCTTTCACTGTTTGCTTCTGGCCATCGCTTTCTGAGATCAAATGCTGCATCACCTGTGACCGGCATTTAAGCAGAGAAGAAACTTTTTTTTTGTCGCTACCAGCTAACAAGCTTTCCGATTTTGCACAACAAAAATGCGTGAACCGCGTTTCTGATTTGATACTACGCTGAATATATAGCAATAAACGCGTGAACTTTATGCTGTGAAACCCGAGCACTGCCCATTACAGATTATAGTATATACTTAGGGTTCCGTGTTTTCGGAGTTTATTTTTAGTCAAATTCGGAGGGTGTTTTTTGGAAGTTTATTTTTGCCCAAGATTCGGAGTTTATCGGGGTTTATATTTGTTTGATTGACAAAAATAATACCTGGAGAAAGGAAACAAGAGGGAGCAAAAGACAAACACAACTCTCCAAACATAGCTAGGTCCCGATTCTCCGAAATTTGGAGCTTAATTTTGCAGTGTTTTCTATGAAAAATAAATATATAAATAATAACCGGATATAACGTATGCCAGATAAAAAAATAAAGATAATCAAATGGCTTAGAGAATCAAACTGCGTTGTTAAAATAATGTTTTACTTTTTTTCATGTTTTTTTAAAATTTGAAGCCGCAAAAAAGAAAAAAAAAAAAAAGAAGAAGAAGAAGGCTTTATATCAAACAAGCTTACAGTCGTGACAGTATCAATGGAAACGATGGTAATCCCAACTCTATGAATAAAAAAGAAATCTTCGATTCGGTACACGATTTCTAAATTTCTAGTTTTCTGATCACGTAAATTAGTTATATCAATAACATTTGGTTGTAATTAGAAAAATGCTTGCAAAACGACATCTCTGTAGCTGTTTCTTAAGTACCGTAAAAATAAAACTTTAAACACCAACGATATAGATGCCGAAAGTGGGACCGACGCCTTAACGTTTGCTGATCATGACCTATAGCTTTTTGCAACGGAAAACCGTGCGCTGCGCCTGTGCACAAAACCCAATGACTCGGCACTTCAGGCTCTTAGGCAAAACATTCCGTAGCAGCCACAAAAATTGAAATAGCATTACCCAATCCAAGTTAGTTTATATGATTAAGGTAGTCGTAGCATGATATAAAAATGCTGTGAATATGGTTCAGGGTCATGATGAAATAAACTTGACGCCAAAAAAAAAAAAAAGAATTGAAAAACCGAAAAAAAAAACAACTGGACGACGCCCCGTTTTTAGACGTCGTACGGTTTTTTTTCTATTTCTGTTCTCTGGACCTATTGTGCTTCTAATTCACACCTCAGTCTCGGGTTTTATTCATCATGGTTTATATTCACCAGCTCACATGAACGTTAACTGTGGTTGAGGAATGTCCGTATAAGGTAAATACAAATATGCCCCTTCCATTTAAAAGATTCATTAAATTGTAGATTTATTGTGTTGCTTACACTGCATGTTATACAGTAGCCGGCGATATAAGCGGAAACGGTGGCTTTTTAGAAAAATGTAATGTGAGACGCTCAGGCGCGTGAAGTGTAAAAAAAGGAACATTGTGGTGGACTGGCACGTTCCATAATTTTGCTTTACGACATTTCGTTCCATGGGTTAAGACGTACGGGAACATCATGCGGCATTTTGTCCCGCTCGGTTGTTCCAGCTCACAATGCCGGCCGCTGTACGTGTTGTGTATAACCGAGTTATTTTGATAATATTGACGCCCCTGGTTATAACGGTGATATTTATGGTGCCCCGGTCACCCTGGGGGGTGGGGGTCGTGAGATCAGAACATAGGTTGGTGTGGCAGCTGTGCCGAACTGGTTTTGCTTAGAAAAGGAAGAGGGGGAGAGTGGAACAGAGGTGCATAACTCATATAACGCGTATAGCTTATACACTCGAGAGAGAAAAGTAAGCATCAAAATAATTCAGGAAGAGGGAAAAGAGAGAGGGTTACACAGGACAGATAAGCTAGATTGGGTTATGATGAAAGGAAACAGCAATCGTGTACTGTCAAGGCGGGTTGAGTTGAGAAAGTAAAGTAGGTGGTCCTGGAGGCTGTGGTCTTGTAGAGCTGCACTACATTTTTTGCCCAGCGGAGTCACTCGTGACAAAAAAAAATTATTTATAAGAACTCTGAGGACCGTCAATTTTAATCTTTGTGCACAAACTATCTGACAGGCTTCCCGAAAAGCAGTCAAAATGTTTCAGTGCCGACAACAGCTTAGAAAAGGGGAAACGGCGCTTTGTCTCGCTTTTCTCATATAGTCCCATGTCAAGTGATGGCGGCCAGGGGTGCCACTCGACCCCAGCAAAAACAAGCCTCGGTCCGTGATCCAGCCTACTACAAGAGAGATCAGTTCGAAAGCTGCGCGTCGGCGTCCGCTCCAGTCTTCGTCCGTCTGCTATGCGGAGCGTAAGTTCGTCTGCTTCTTACACAGGGAATGCGATGATGTTAGAACACCGAGCTTTTATTGGCTGATTGAAAAAAAAATAGTGGGTAGAACTCGAGGCATCTAGCTTTGGGGCCTACCCACTATCCTTTCAATCAAAGCCAGTCAGATTTCGGCGTCGTTCTAACGTCACAACTCTTCCGCAAGAAGATTACTTGCTCTCCACATTCCGCCCTGTCTAAAAACTTCTGCAACGCTTGCAAGACGCGACCATGAAACTGGCGTTCTAGCGTTCCATCATGCACGAGCCACGGTTCAATACAGGCGTCCCTGCTGGAAAAAAGAGCTAAAATCTCATTCATTTTTGCACCAAAACCAATGTGCATGAATGAGCAACCCGATGAAACTTGAATGTGAAATTACCCTAGAAACCCACAAGCTGAATATAGAAAATGAGACAAAATGGATATGTATTTCGGTGCGAAAATGAATGTGCCCGAATGAGCAAAATAGGCAGACTGCCATGAGCGGTTATGTGCTTTGTAAGGAGGATTCAATCGTTTTGAATGAGAATGCAGGATAGAAACGAATAAGCATCAATGAGCTGAAGAAGTGAAAATCCAGGAGCAGTAATGTGAAATTTTAAGGGATTTGTATGTTATGCTCATTGAATTTTTAATATTATTTCAATGGCAGAAAATATCGCGGGAAAGGTCTACTGTAGCTGCTTTTAATGCGGCAAGCACACTAAAAAACAGCTACAGCAAACCTACCTTGCGGCGAAGTGAGAGACACTCCAGTGTTGAAACACAAATTTTACTTTTCTGAAATAATACATGTGGAAACATAGGAAGCGTCGTCATTGACAAGCATAGTTCCAGAGACACTTGGTCCGTTATTCTTGGTCAGTACCTAGCGCATGCCGCACGTCACGGCCCAGGTCACGTACGGCGCTGTTTATGTGTGTGGTCATTGCTGCCATCCGCTCAGCCAACACATCGCCACTGGCGCCATGTTCACGTAGCCAGTCCTCATAGCATGCTGGAAAAAAAATGCAACTATTAAACTCTGCATAATTTTGACAGAGAAATTTGTAATATTTAAAACAACCTAAGTGTGGGGTAATTTTAATCTTGCAGTATGCAGATATCTTTTTATCTTTTATATAAATAAAAAAAATGAGATACGTCTATCCTTTAGTTTATATTTGTGGGCATGACGGACATAGACGGCTGGATAACTGTCAGAATATGTCGACAAATTACAAATATATGGCAATTAACTTTTTATTTAGTGGTTTAATGAGGCATGTTGCAATCAGGCACGTAGCCAGGATTTTGTTTTGGGGGGGGGGGGGGGGGGCGCCCATGACAAATTGATGCATGAGGGGGAGGGGGGAGAGGAGGTCCCAACAAAATGTAAGATTTCGGGGGGGGGGGGGGGGGTGGCGGGCCTCATGGGGGCCCCCCAAAATAGCCATTATTACAGGCTAACCCAATTTCGACAATTCGTAAAAATTTGTCGCTTTGAAACGTTCATTGTTAAAATTTTCTTTTTCGTTGCCTAACTCAAGAACTGCGCACCAAAAAGAATCTGGGAAGTTTTGCCGATAATGGTCCATAGAAAAGTGACAGTTGTTTTAGTCATCTCGTCACTATCTGTACAGCATATCCTCGGTAGTTGCTCCACAGTCAACCACCAATTGCAACATGCCCATTAAACCATTTTTTAACAGGTTTGGTTAGTTAGTCAATACAGGTGATGGTTATCCACCCATGTAAAAATTATGGAAGAAAAAATGCCCTGCATATTTAAAAGATGCCTAGTTAAATGCATGCAACTTTTACCGAAAAAAATCTAGTGCACTACTGTGAAATATAATATACCAAACAGGTAAAAATAAATGTTCAAAAGGTTCGATACGCTGCACATTATTTCGTGTAGTATTTTTTTTAGTAACATCTCCAAAATCTCCATTTGTTGGTTATATTAATCTGTTGCTTCTTCTTCACCTTGTAGTCAGGTCATGAGAAATATGGCGGCCCTGTTGAATGTAATCAGTTAGTGATAAAACGGAGTAAACACGGAAAGTGCCGTAAACTACAAGCTACTCACCTTCTAGCACATTAAGTTTTGTTGGAGTCAGTGGTGGCTTCGCAGCACCTCCATCATTTATCAAACGGTTAGACACCTTGCCACTCGTAGATCGATTTTTCAAAATATTGCGTCCCCATATGGCAGTAGCCAGACTCCTCACAAACTTGGACTCTTTTTTTTGTCGCTGACAGGCGACCCATTGGTCCAAACTAAGGGTAACACTGTCATTTACACAGACCTGCAAATGAAGCAGAGCAATGGATATAAATAAAAACAATAAAGGCTTCATTTGTAATCCTACGAAGCTGTTGGAAATGACAGCAAGTACACAAACTTCAAATTAACCGACAGTTCAAGCCAGCTTTATTTCATGACCACAATCTTAAAACATTGATCGGCCATTTTCTAATTGCAGATTTTAAGAGCAGATATAAATCTAGCTTGTGGCTTCTTTATAATTTTGTCCTTTCCAGTACTTTGTCAAAATATTAAAAAAACTAAAACGGCAACCACAGGCTATAAAAAATTTGCTGCATCAGCTTACCGTTCTTCCGTCAGTTCTGAGTTTAGCCTTCTTCACGATATCATGCTTGGTGTTTGCATTTATTGAGCATCCTTGACGGCGCAAAAAAAAGAAAAAAAAAACAAACAAAGTTAAACATTTTAAATCACCATGGTTGTCTTAGGCTTTTTTTTTTTTTTTTTTTGTAAAATTCATGCTTCAGAAGGAAAGAGATACGCACCTGCTCCAGTGCTCTCGAGCTTTGATTTGATGCTGTTTACACCCTCAAGAATCACATCCAGAATGTCTGTGTTTTTGGCCTCTCTTGTCCGCATCTTTTCAACGTCTTCCTTAAGTTCCCTTGTAGTTTTTTTTAGGGCAAGATACTTCTGATGGAGATCGTCGTACAACTTTTTGGGAACAACAGCACCATCATCCCCACTGTCTGTATCACTGTGGCTTTCGTACCTGGCATGCTTGGCACTCCGAGCCTCTGGGAAAAGTGGGTTCTTACGCTTCTGAGACAACTTTTCTGAAATTATTTGCTTCATCTTTGCTGTTGCTTCTCTTGTACGATTCAATTTCTGCTGAGCCTGCACTATTACAAGCACCATGTAGGGAAAGCTCCAGCATCTTTTGATTTCATTGGCGGTCACATTTTCATGGACACTCTTGTCAAAATAATAATTGTAATTTACACCGACATTTCTTTGCTCTGCCAAAGAAAAATTTAGTATATAATTGCAATAAGGATTTCTTCCAATACAATTTATGTTTTCAATCACAGCAAATTATATAGAAAATTAGTAATTTTTGTGTAAAACTCAATTATGCAGTTTCTTAAATGAAATTTTAGAAAGAAAATCAGGTGACGGATTCTCTGGGTGCTATTCTCACTGCATTACTGCACTCGGCTTATCAAGCCTTTGAGAAACATCACTAGTATGTTGACTAATTAACGAAAATCTGTAAATTAACTGTTTGGGGCTATGTTGCAATTGTAGTTAAGCAAACCATTGTTAGGGTACTATCGAATTGAAACAATCTGCAAAAGGGCAACAAGCTTTTAGATATTCAGAGCTGAAATTACGCCTTTTGTGTCCTGGTTAAAAAACTGCATACTGGAAGGAGCGCGTTATGTTGCGCTCACATAGTCGTTTTGGTCTGGCTTGCGGGTTTTCAGTCAAGCCATGAAAGGCAAAATTTATATCTAAAAACTTGTAGCCTTTTATAAATTGTTCAAATTCGGCAAGGCTTTAATAATAGCTCCATTTAAAAGTGCAATTGCAACACTGTCTAATAAACGGTTCTAATGTCAACCAATCACAATAATTATAAGGACAACATCCACATACATACCTATTACCTTTTCGTTTTTCTTAATAGAGAAAAAGAACAAAAATTGTTATATATTGTTTTACACTAGACAAGATGTATCAGTCATACTTAACCTCATTTCTCTGAATATTACAGAAAATTTGTAATCTTCCAAGGTGTGCTTTAAAACTATATGGGGGAATAAATAATGAACTACAGTACCAAAAAACCGAACAGACTAAATGGAAAAACAATATAATTTTAATTTCAACCAGAAACCAGCTAAAATCAGTTTTTTTTTGTGAAGTATCAATTTTCATACTTTAATCTGTATTTACCTGTTAAGGCCATTGTTTTATTCAGTTACCACTTGTAGTGACATTTAGTCTTTTATTTCATAGTGTAAATAATTTTTCGTGGCAACACAGCTCATTTGTACATATTATGTGAAGGCACCGGAGGGGTTCTATGATAGTTCTAAAAGGATAAGAAGCAACAAAATGCTTGCCATTTCGACCCGAAGAGCTGCTTGGTCGTCTTCCGAACTGCTGTGCTCAACAACCTGGTCAAGGACTTTAGGTAGAGGGATCCTCTTGCCCCTTTTGATCCTCTCCTCGATCGACGACTTTGAGTCTGCAAAGTGGTACACACAATAACATATAGGGCAAGTCTCCTCTGGTGTGCTGCTGTGAGGAACTGCATTGATATATATCACCTGCCAAAAGTAGTATTTGGGCTTTAAAACAGCCCGGCTCCCCTCCGTCTGGAGTCAACAAAGCATCATAGAGGTGACCCTTCTTGTAGTCATCCTCACTTCTCGGTTCAAAGTTTTTAATTGCAGATGTACTGATGATAGTCTTAGGTCGTGCTGTTCCAGTAAAATATTGCACATATGCGAAATTCATCTCTGTAAGAAAAGAATACAATCGAATTTAATGTGAAGTAATCGCATTATGTTCAAACAATTCCAACCGTCACATCCGCATGTGGTGGAGAAAATGTGGCTGATCAGCGAGGTAATTTATTACACAAACAAAGCACCAAGGCAAGACGAGACTACACCAATTCCCGATTAATATTTTTATATTAATTATACGCCTTAATCAACCGTGACAGCGTGCGGTCTAGAGAAGCTCGTTCTAACGAACGCAGTTTTAGCGAAAACAGTTTCTTCGAGCTGCCTCGAAAGTCGAAACTCGGTTTCGAGAAGATGGCAACCCCCGGCATGCTGCTTCCGATGTTTCTCTGATTCATCAGCCTAGCTTGCCGAGTACTCAGCGATGAACCCTTGTAGGTGCGTGCTCGAACTTGAGATTAACATTCCTTCGAGCGACAGCGAGCGCGCGTAGCATGGTTTGCTTGCAAGTGTAGGTTCCCGCCGTGCACACATCGCATTTCTCTAAACCACACTTCGATAAAACGTACTCTTTTCGCTTTATATATAAAGAAGAAGAAGAAGAAGAAGAAGACGAAAAAGAAGTGAGAAAAAAAAAAAAAAAAAACGCGTGCAACGCAGTTTCGTTTCGCCGATCCAACCATGCGCCGGCGCAAACTGCTGCCTGAATCGCAGTTTCGTTTCGCCGATCCAACCATGCGCCGGCGCAAACTGCTGTTGAACTATATTTTACTGCAATAAAATCTTACCCTTTCTTCCTGTAGGAATAGATGTCCTGCGGTCTTTTCAGCAACTGAAAGCTCATACGCAGCAGGTGATGCAACCAAAACTAGCAGCTCAACTGGCTCAACCGGCTCAACTGAAACCGCGCGCCGACTCCGGCTGGCCATATGGCGAGACGGCCACCTAACACCCATGGCAAATACAGAAGAGAAGGATTACTCTAATAAAAAAAAATTAAGTTTCATTTTACAACTTAGAATTATATTTAGTTCAGGACGTTGTTATTAGCACTATAGACTGTAAAGATGGTTTCGTTTACAATGCGGTTTATGGCGCGATGGCGTGCGTTTCACGTTTTCGAAGTACCCAGGTCCCCGGGTAGCCATCCCGCCAATCCCGCTACTACAGCCACTGTACCGCTACTAATCCCGCTTCCCGCTCTTCCCGCGTCATTCTTCGCCATTATTGCTCGTCAAACAAGCGCTACGCCGATTCTGCCGAAACTTCTGCATATGAAACGGCATTATGGCCAGTAAGCAGCGGCCGAAGCAATACCGACGTTACCTGGCACCTTTATCCGAAGAGAGCGTGCCGCGGTCGACGCGTGCTCGGTGGCATCAGACCGAAAAGGTAGGCTTTTATAGTCGGTGAACCGTAAGATTTTATTGACGAAATCTTTTTGTTGTCAGATTCTTGCTGAAGGCGCCCCGCGACCTTTGGAGCAGAAGTCAGCTGCGCAGTCTCACAATCGTGGAGATGTGAGTTTGTTCATTTCAAGCGTTACTTCATGCATGGTCTTTCGTTGTTAAATACCGTGTGCGTTCGCTCTCGTCTTTCTCTGTATCGAGCCACTGCTTCCAACCTCCGGCTCCTATGCTTTGCTGCAGTGCTTCTGGGCTGGGCTTTGTGAGCGAATATCTGACGAATAGGCGATGAAGCTCGCCCGACGGCGCTCGATGTGCGCGTGCGAACGCCCCGGGGCGAGCTTCGTCGCTTTTTGAACACAAATATGGCAAAACTTGCAACTTGCTTTTTGGACACAAATAGGGGAAAACTTGCACTTGTATGGGAAAACTTGCAACGAAAATCTGAAAGAAAATTCTATCATGTAAGACCCCACACGGCCCAAGACCTCAAAAGCCTTGACGATGTCAAGAACGACGACGACGACGTCTTGGAAATCGAAGACGTCTTGGGCGCCTTAGATTGAAATCTTTGGAATACGGACAAAAAATTTAAGAAAGCGCGAAATTGACGTGTGGTGCTACTCGATCGAACATATAATGTCCCTATAACCTAAACTCATACTGTGCGTGCCGTTCTTTCTCATGTTCAAGCTTTCTTAATTTTTGTCAAATACTGTAAAACGTTTTTATTGTGCGGCCTTTATATTTTTTAAATCCGGCTGGGACCATCATGGCTTGCACGTGACGTCAAAGCTGCTCTTCTTGCTGGTGGTGAAAGCGTGCCGTTAATGCACTGGAAGCTGCGCCGACTCGTTTCCGCCCGCTGGTAACGCTTGTTTTTTGGTTGTAGAATTAGTACTGTAAAGGCTATGCACCACCACCAGAGAGGATCAAATTATGTTGGTGCAGGCTATTCCAGGGGTCCAAATCCAGGCCTTTAAAGGTTGGATTATTTGTGTACGGTTAAACTAAGTTCTAAATCTTTTCTAATTAGTGAAATTGTGGCTCGCGAGCAGCAATAGTTTTACAGCATCTGTTTCATGGGGTCCATCTTGTGGGGAAGGAGGATGCCCTGCAAGAGCACGTTCTTCAGAGCATGAAACATAATTTTCACGTGCCTTCCCGCTCGACTGCTGGTTTAATCTACAGGGTGAAACAAGGAGACGGCAGGCTCTTTAAATCGACCGGAAAATTCGGTTTCTTAACCTATCGCGCTACGACTTTGTGCAGCGTTGCCCACAGATGGTGCATTTTTTTTGTAAAATTTGCAAAGAGCGAACTTACCTGAGGAAGAAGTAAAGAAAGAAAAAGGCTTAGCTCCTATGGAAACGCAGCGAAGCCACCGGTCTTCAAACACGGCGCCGTTGCGCACGGGAGACAAGAGATGGCGCAAGCGGTCGCGACGCCAACTGCCTCCAACGAACGAGCAGACGACGCCGAGAGCCGGCGTATTTAGCAGACAAGGAACTGCAGTTCCTCGTTGTTACCGCGTCTGTTTTTGTTTCTGCGACTGTCGCCGCCTGCGGAACGAGTGTTGCTTTTGAGTCGAAAAGATTGTCTGCTGACGCTGGCACTCGGCGCCGTATGCTCGTTCGTTGACGGCGTTCGTTGCGCCATCTCTTGTGTCCCGTGCGAAACGGCGCCGTGTTGTTTGAAGACCGGTGGTGTCGCTGAGTTTCCGTCGGAGCTAAGCCTTTTTCTTTCTTTACTTTTTCCTCAGGTAAGTTCGCTCTTTGCAAATTTTACAAAAAAAAAAAATGCACCATCTGTGGGCAACGCTGCACAAAGTCGTAGCGCGATAGGTTAAGAAACCGAATTTTCCGGTCGATTTAAAGAGCCTGCCGTCTCCTTGTTTCACACTGTAGATATGAGTATGTCTGCTCCTGAGCACTGAAATGGGTCTCATGTACGGTTGGTTGGTGTGGGGTAGAGTGCTGCAGAAGCTCTACCTCCTGTAGACGCTCGTTACCTCCGAAGCGCCAAAGCACAAGTGTGCTTCGGTTACGCATTCATGCTTGTGCTATCAAGGCTAGAAAGTTTTTGCTGCCGGGGGGGGCGGGGCGGGCGGGGGGCGGGCGGGGGGGGGGGGAAGTGAAGGGGGTGGGTGGGTGGGTGGGTGGGTGGAGGTGGAGGAGGAAGAGGGGCGCAGCTTCCCGTGTGGCTTCAGCCTGTCAGCGACCATGGTGCCAAATGGCTTCCGAAGGACAGTTTGCTGCACCAGCACATGTGTTGCGCTCTGAAGGTCTTTTGCAAAATATAGTGCCTGATACTGCTCGCATTGGTGTTGATGATATGCCCAATGCTATTTGATGTGAGACAGTATATTGCCTTTTTTTTATTTGTTGCTGTAAACACTCTTTTATAGGGTCCGCCATGTTCTGGACAAGGGATTGAAGCTTGTTTGACCACTGGCCACCTAAGTGAGACAGACTGCAGTGGGCCAACTTCTCGACAGAGTGAGATTTCTTTGGCTGAAATGTCACCGGTGTTGCTCTCGGGTGAAATTCCGCAAACTGAAAGTATGTGTGAGGAGGCCGAGTCTCCGTGCAGCGCAGACAGCCTTTCGAGCTTCTCAGTTAGCTCTCCGGGGAGCTCAGAGTGCGAAGAGAAGGACATTCAGAGCGAAGGAGAGCAGCCTGGCTCTCCTACTGAACATGTTTCTGATGCACCATCAGCATTCAGCGTCAAGGGTTTTGACTTGACTACTCAAATTTGCAAATGTACAACAACGACCGTAGCGGAAGTGCTTGTTCTTCTGCTGTCATTTCTTGCAAAGCACCGGCCTACTGTGTCAGCCTTGGTTGACATCCTGCAGCTCTTCAATGTCGTGTTCCAGAAGGACATCCTGCCTAGTACAAAGTACCTGCTCAACAAAGCATTTTCCAGTCCCTCCCTCATGATGCAGTATCACATGTACTGTGAGTATTGTCTAGGATATGTTGGCATCCGAGAGCAGCTACGTTTGCAACAGTCAACATGTCCACATTGCCACCAGAAATTTTCAGTGACAACTTCACCCTACTTTCTCATGTTACCCCTTGCACCACAACTAAAGTTCATGTTGGAAAATCAACCAGGGTTGGTCCAGGAACTTCAATACAGGAATGAAAAGAAACACAAAAATATATCCTGTCTTGAAGACATCTTTGATGGCACTCTGTATCAGAAACTTTCCAAACCTGGTGGCCTCTTGTCTTTCTGTAACAATTTTTCATTTTCTTTTAACACTGATGGAGCTCCAGTGTTCAAATCTTCCCGTGCCTCTGTGTGGCCTATTCATATCATGCTAAATGAACTACCACCAGTGTCCAGGGAAAAGAATTTGCTGCTGGCAGGCTTGTGGTATGGTAAGGGGGAACCAAACATGGATATGTTTCTGAAGTCGTTTGTCGATGATGCAAAGCATCTGGCTACAATAGGAGTTACATGGAAGCATGTTGATGGTACCCTTATTAATAGTAAATTCGTTGCAACCTGTTGCTGCGTAGACAGCGTTGCTCGTCCTGCGATGCAAAAGTTAATGCAGTTCAATGGCTATTATTCTTGTGGGTGGTGTTACCACCCTGGTGAGAACGTAGGTAATGTTGTCAAGTACCCTGTAGGCCCAGAATGCTACCCCGACAGGACTAATGAGACAATGGAAAAGGAAATGGAACAAGCATTTGTAACGAAGACAACCATTTTTGGTGTCAAGGGCCCGTCTGCATTGATAAACATGCCAAAGTTTGGGATAGTATCTGGGTTCGTACCAGACTACATGCATGCTGTCCTTCTTGGGGTGGTACGGCAACTAGCAGAGCTATGGTTCTCGTCTGTTGGTGAAAAGTTTTATATTGGAGAGCCCTCGACTGTAGCTAAAATTAACAAGAGATTAGAAAGGATGTTTCCCCCCAAAACTGTTTCTCGACTGCCAAGGCCCATTTCTGAGCGACGGTTCTGGAAGGCGTCGGAGTGGAAATGCTGGTTGTTGTACTATGCTTTTCCTTGCCTGGATGGCATTCTTCCAAGAAAATATCTTAAACATTTTGCTTTGCTTTCACAGAGTGTGTATGCTCTGCTCAAGGACTCTGTGACGCATACAGATGTGAATAATGCCGACCTTATGTTGACCGAGTTTGTTTGTGGGATGCAAGAGTTGTACACGAAAACGTCAATGACATATAACGTCCATCTTCTCACTCATCTGCCGAAAAGCGTAAAAGAGTGGGGCCCGTTATGGGCCCATTCTGCTTTTGCATATGAATCTGCAAACGGCTTTCTTTTAAAATTAGCAAAAGGGACACGAAAAGTACCTCTGCAAATAGCCAAGAGTTATCTTTTGTACCGCTCTGTGTACTACTTCGTTAAATGCTACATCAGGCAACAAACAGTGCAAGAGTTTTGTGAGGGCTTGCTTGGGTCAAAGCGCTTAGTGCATACAAGTGAGGTGGAGAAATGCCACCTTATTGGCAAAGGCTTAAAACATGGAAGTAGCCACAATTTTTTTGGTAGCTCTGTTGTTTTACCTGGCAGTGTCTGTACTGTGTATAAAAGGGTGATTGCAGGAGGTGAGTTGTTGCACTCTAAAGAATATGGTAAATGCAAGCGTCGCAATAATTCCTTTGTACAATTGAAAAACGGGTTGTGTGGAGAAATATTGAAAATCTGTGTATACAAGGAAAATGGTGTTCACCGTTGTGTGCTACTTCTTGAAGAGTATGTCTCGTCAAGAACGCTTCATGTGACCCATGTAAATGAGTATTATTCTAAGCAGAATGTGAGGATTGTCTCAGCAGACAATGTCTTGTCAAAATTTGTTGTCATGCGGTCAGGCAACAGGTTATTTGCCAGCCTTTTGCCCAACTATTATGAAAAGGAGTAACCATCATGTCATGTTAGTAGGTATGTTTGATTTGCCTACACCACCTGCACTGGTACTCTCAGTGTATTTACATCACTGTATCCTACTTGTTGGTGCAGACTATCTTGAGGACTCTTTAGGGGCTTGTTGTGTTTGGTCTCCAGGATCGAAATATTGTAACAAAAGGACGAGGACAGAACCACTTGTGGTGTCTGTCCTTGTTCCATTATGTGAAATGCCTTTAATCCTGGACAATGCATACCGTAATTACATTGCCCTGCACTGTACACTTTCTGCACCATGCAGGTGGGTGCAGCTAAATCAAGCATACCTACTGACATTAGCAGGGTGTCTACCAACCTAAAAAAGCTATAATTGCAAAGGAACTTTTGAGCTTCTGAAAAAGTCAGGGAAATCATGAAAAACTTAGCTAAATCTGAGAAAATGATCACTGACTTAACAGAGCCATCTATGTAGCATTTTGTTTAGAGGGAAACAGCCATATGGTTTTGGCGTCAGCCTTTCTTGGCATGTGCGTCCCTCCTGCCGCACGGAACTACAAGTGTAGCTAGTTCTGAAGTTTCACATGTAAAAGAAAACCTAGAAAAGTCTGCGAATTTGACATGTAATAGTTTGGTAGACACCATGATTAAGCAATAATGTAGGGATAATTGCTCTTTGGGAGAAGTCTGTTTTCATAAAGATGAAGGTGACTAGGGCTGTATTAAACAAGAACACGTACAATGGGTTACTGTATGCAAAATGCTTTACTTTTGTACTGTGAAAGGTTGCAGCTTCCAGTTAAAATAAAGCATTGTATTTGAAAGAGCAGTTGTGATATTCTTGTGTACCAGTACCTACTACTGCTTTACAGGCTGCTGCAAGTTTGTTCCCTGCATGAAAATCTGAATGTTCATACGATTGGGACTTCAGTTCTACTCGGGGCACTATAAAAAAAAAAAAAAATCTTGTGCCATACGAAAGCCAATTATACCAATTATTTTCAGGTTGGCATAATAGTGAGCATAGATAGTTGTGCGACTGGGGGAGGGAACCCTCTGGTGCGGCCTTGGCATGGTAATTGAGCTTGTATTTAGTATATAACAAGTCGGTGATAATACGTCAAGGTATGGACACTAATGAGCAAACTATTAGTCCTAATAAGTGCTTGCCGACTCTAGAGATTGACTTCACTTGTCAACGCCTTCACGCTGCAGCTTCCCTATAGTGTTTAGAGTGGCAGTAATAAGCGAACGAGGCATCACGCAGATTGGTGCTAATGGTCTTCATAGACTCTGCCAGCTATCGTCTACAAACTTGGCTTTGGAAGTTGGTTGCCCCGGATTGCAGCTTCCCTGTAGTGTTTCTACAAGCACCAATGAGAAAATGGTGAGATTGCTTGAGATCTCCCTAAAGTTGGCTTCACCTGCTTTATGAAGTAACCCTTCCCCCGGATTTTGTCTTTCCTGCAATGTATCCCATGGCCCGAATGAGAAAATGTCTTTTTAACCACATTGGTGCTATCGGCGCCAATGTGCTCATAGGAGCACATTGGTGCTCATAGAAACTTGCCCGAGTTCTTTCCCCAAGGTTGGCTTCACCTCAATCAGAAAACTGCCCCTTTTCTAAGATTGTGGCTTCCCTGCAGTCTTCCTATGTGCACCAATGAGAAAACTCTTGGTTTTGCACATTCGTGTTACACTGCACATTGGCACACATTAATTCTGACTACTTCCTCAATGTGAATGTGCGCCTCATTTCCAGCAGGGGTCTGTCAGCGTCTGTAGAGGTGCGGTAAAAGCGACCGAAAGGACAAGATAAAATAACAAAATAAATATCTAGTCCTTCCAGCTTTCCCAGCTTTTTTTTTTTCAGTGGGAAATACATGTGTCGTCTTCTTTTTTGGTTTGTGCGTGCTTGCGGTGTCTGTGTCTTTGGGAAGCGGAGGATGTATGTGCGGGGGGGTGTATACGCCTCGCAAGTGGTCTCATTTTCGTCTTCTGCGCATGAGAAAGGGAGTAGCGGTGACGTCAGAACGCCGAGCCCTGATTGGCTGACCGCGACCCCCTATCTCTGCGTCGTCTGCTTCTTTGCAACGTCGTCTGCTCGGTACGTCGTCTGCTCGGTACGTCGTCTGCGTCTGTCTTACCTTTCCTGCGACTTTCGAAAGTGCAGGTCTTTACGAGCGAGCTCGACTTCGCCTTTCAGAGAGGGCAGACGAAATAACTCGAGCGGTACGTTGTTTTTGTCTAACAACTAGCAGACGCGCATCGAGGAGGGAAGTCAAAGGACTCACTGGCGAGGTGTCTGTTGGAACTTTCGCGAGGACGGCATCGGATTCCCTCTGCGGAGAAGATGCACGCGAGGAGCGAGCTGAACCTCGCACCAAGGCTTGTCTCGGCGGAGACGATTTACGATCGCGCGCGGGGGTCGAGATGTAAACTTCGTACCCGCAGCGGCCGGATGCAGCCGCGAAGATTAACAGCGGGGAAAGTGGAGACGGACAGAACGAAAGCTGGAACGCTACCGATCGGAGAACGAGAAAGTGGCTCGTCTGTTTGGAACGTGTGTAGTGTGTGTAGTTTAAAATAAAAGTGTTGGGGTTTGTTGAGATTGATCGATGATATCTCGAAACGCCAAGAAGCAACAATTCCCTCAACAAAATAATTGGTGCCGAAACCCGGGACAGAAACTACTGCACTACAAATGAAGCCGACGAGCAACGTGTGATCGAATCGCCAGCAGACAGAGTAGGGAACGTAACGACTGAACGGGCGAAACCTGGTAATCAACGGTCATCATCTACGATAGACCGACACAAGCAAGCAGCACTGCGAGCCAGGACTGAACGGCAATGGACGTCCTCAAGAAAAAACGAAAAACGCATCGAACGCAAGTAACGAGGCTCCTCAGCGAGGCATAGGATTTATTACAATCAGCTACGCCGACCGTCGATGATCTCGATATATTGATCGAAGCTCAAAGGAAAGCTCAAAAGGAAAGTGAAAAGCCCGGAGGACAACCAACGAACAAGCGGGAAGCCGAAGGAAGAGCGGGAAGCAAGAAAGGTGACATCAAAAATCATGCTTCCCAAATTAGAGCTCATAAAGTTTAACGGACACCGAAGAAATTGGCAGCCCTTCTGGGAGCAATTTCAGACCGCCATCCATGAAAATCCGGAACTATCGTCCTCAGAAAAATTCAACTACTTGAGGTCAGCCCTGACTGGTGATGGAGCAGCCGCCATCGCAGGACTGCACCCAACCGCTGAATGCTACGCCCACGCCATCGAGCTCCTGCAGTAGCGGTTCGGGAACCAGGCGGAGCTGATCCAGGACCATATGACAGGGCTCATGGATATCAATCAGGTGCCGTCATCACGCAGCGTCAGAGCTCTGCGGCGGGTCTACGACAGCGTCCAGGCTCACATCCGGGGCCCTCGGGCGTTGGGTGTGACGGATCAGTCATACTGTGCCATGCTCTACCCGGTTCTGCTTCGTGCGCTTCCGGACGACATGAGGCTGGAGTTCAACCGCAAGATGTCTTCGGGGAACGCCGAAAACGCCACCGCCGGGGGAACATCAGCAACCGACATCGGCTCCGACTCAGCAACGGAGCAAGGACCCGTTAAGGAGGTGCGCGCGCTGCTGAACTTTCTCAAGATCGAGGTGGAGAGCCGGGAGAAAACATCCAAGGAACAACTCGAAGACGCTGGCGGTAAGCCTACTCATTGTTTCCCCATGCATGAACATCCGAAGAGGCGCCTAAACAACGCCAAGACTCGGAACGCTACCGCTACGGCCTTGCATGGCAGGATGGACAGCATGGAATGCTTTCTTTGCAAATCAAAGGCGCACAACACACCAGACTGTAACGTGAAGATTGAACTCAAGGAAAAGAAGCGCAGGCTGCAAGCCGATCGCAGGTGCTTCCGGTGCACAAAGCCGAACCACACGGCAAGAATGTGTCGCGGCACGCTCCGTTGTGACAGGTGTCGAGGGAGGCATGTATCCACTATGTGTGATCCAGATTACTTTCCGGGACGAGCTGCCAGCGGATCGGATGAAACGCGGAAGAAAGACAAGACGCCTCTCAACCTGCATGTGAGCGAGAAGGGCAACAAACCGGCTGTCCTTCTGCAAACGGTTACCGCGTGGGTGGAAAGCAAGAACAGAAGAAAGTTGGCCCGCATTCTCTTCGACAGCGGTAGTCATCGCTCCTTCATTACAGAGGAGCTGCCGAGGGGTCTTGGTTGCAAGCTTCTCGGAACAGAGGTTCTTACCGCCGGAGTGTTCGGTGGCAAGACTAGCGAACAAACGTACCGTAGAGTACAAGTAGTTTTGAGTAATCGTCTAACCGGCCAGACATACGAGATGGACGCTTTCGAGACGCGTTCTATCTGCGAACAAGAACTTCCAGGCCCGGATGAAGACATCCTCGTGAATATGGAGGAGCTCGGACTAACGGTTGGTGACGACCTGAACGGACTCGAGTGCAACGGAGTAGGAATCCTCTTAGGATCGGAGCACTACTGGGGATGCGTTACGGGAAGAGTCCGTCGACTGAGCGAGAACCTGACGGCAGTGGAGACCGCCTTTGGTTGGGCAGTACATGGACGCTCCCAGGCGACTGCAACTGTTGTCAACTGTTCCCAAGTGATCGTCCTCAGAGCTACCGTGAGCGACCAGGAGAACACGGCTGTCCTGAGAGGATTTTGGGAGCTTGAGAGTAGGGGAGTTGTGGACGCAGAGGTCCAGGATCACTCCGATAGCGACATCATGCAGCGCTTTGAGAGAGGCATCACCAAATCTGATCAAAGATACGAAGTCAGCCTCCCTTGGAAACCTGATGTAAAGCTTGATTGCAACCGAGAGATGGCTTGGAAGAGACTTGAAAGCCAACGAAAGAGGCTGAGCAAGAATCCTGAGCTCATGCAGAGATATGATCAGGCAGTCCGGCTTTACGTCAAGAACGGAATGGCTGAGAGGGTCGAGAGAGACGATAATTCGGGTGAACGGGTGTACTACATGCCCTACCAGGCTGTTCTGCGAGAAGGCAGCAGTACGACGAAGGTGAGAATCGTTTTCGACGCGTCTTCTCACGGACCGAACTGCAAGTCACTAGACGACAACATGGAGAGCGGTCCGAACCTGAATCCAGACCTTGTTAGCCTGCTTCTCAACTTCAGGCAACACCCGGTGGCACTGCTTGCGTACGTCGAAAAGGCCTTCCTTCAAATTGGAGTAAACCCGGAGGATCGCAATGCTCTGCGGTTCCTTTGGTACAAAGAACTTCCTCAACCGAACCAAACAACTCCGGAGGTGGAAGTCTGGCGTATGACGAGGGTCATTTTCGGAGCCACGTCCAGCCCCTTTCTGTTGGCCGCGACCCTACGACATCATTTCAGAGAAATGGAGAGCGTATTCCCCAAGACAGCAGCGCGACTCGGTAGATCGGTCTACGTTGACGACCTCTTGACGGGCGCGGAAAGTGAAGAGGACGCCCGGACATTCTGCAACGAGGCGATCGAGATATTTGGAGCAGCGGGGATGAAGCTTCATAAGTGGGGCTCCAATAGCGCAGCCCTGTCGAAAATGCTTGAAGACAAGGGTCCCGATGAGAGACCATTGGGACAACAGACGGGTGTGTTGAAGGTACTCGGTCTGACGTGGAAGCCGAATGAAGACAGCCTTTCCTTTTCGGCAGAACACGTGATTGAGTTTGACCGCCAACGAAGAAACACCAAGCGTTTCGTGCTCCAGACGACAGCACGACTGTATGACCCCCTTGGTTTCCTCTTCCCTTCGTGGTGCGAGCCAAGATCTTGTTTCAGGAAATCTGGAAGCTGAATCTGCGCTGGGACGATACACTGCCGGAAGAACTGATGAGTGGCTGGAACAACTGGTGCGACGAGCTCACCACACTTCAGCAAATTAACGTGCCCAGATTCTACGAAAGCGAGCTGAAGGGCAACGTTGTACATCGAACGTTGCACGTGTCCTCTGATGCCAGCACCTCCGCATTCGGATCCATGATCTTCATCTGCTGAACGGATGACACCGGAGAAACGACCTCGGCACCCTTACTGGCTAAGTGCCGCGTGTCGCCACTGAAGGAAATCTGCCTTGCTAGATTAGAGCTCATGGCATGCTTGATTGGATCGAGGCTGTTTAAGTACGTAAGGACACACCTGGAAATCAAAGTAGATGAAGTCCACTTCTGGACGGATTCCATGATCGCTCTGCATTGGATTAGGGGAGAACCATCTAGGGGGAAGATGTTCGTGAAAAATAGAGTACAAGAAATTCAAGCAAACAACGAGAAGGCAATATGGCACTACTGGCCGGGGAAGGAAAATCCTGCCGACCTGATGACACGAGGGCTGTCCGCGGATCGACTGCTGTCTGCACCACTCTGGTGGAACGGACCAACTTGGTTGCTATTGCCCGCGACAGAGTGGCCTGGGGAAAGTGACGAGGAGCTTTCCCACGACGGGCTCGAGGAGAGGAGTTTAAGAGCAGAGCTCTTCGAGGTAACTGCAACTGTACCGGAAGAGTTGCTCGACATCTCAAGATTCAGCTTGGCCTTGAAACTTCACAGAACAACGGCCTGGATTTTACGGTTCATCTATAACCTCAGATCGTCAGAAAAAAGGATGGGACCACTGACAGCCGAGGAGATCCACGTAGCGCAAACACACTGGATAACGAGAGCACAAAGATCAGCGTTTGCCTCCGATATTGATTGTGCAACAAAGAGAATGTCACCCTCACCTGGGTCGCTCTTGCGTGACTTTCGCACTTTCATACACGAAGAGGGATTGCTGAGGATCAGCGGCCGACTCCAGTCATCGAACCTGACGCAAGAAGAACGCCACCCTATTGTACTGCCTAAAGAGCATCGATACTCAACGTTGCTGACTATCGACGCCCATCGCCAGTTACTGCACGCGGGAGCCAGGGACACTCTCGTGCAGATGCGCGAGAAGTACTGGATCCTCCGCGGAAGACAGCTGGTAAAGAAAGTGGTGCGCGCGTGTGTGACCTGCCAGCGATTCAACGCGACTCCTGCAAGTGCTCCAACGGGACCCTTGCCGGCGGATCGTACAACGCGAGCGGACCCGTTTGAAGTAGTGGGCACAGACTTTGCGGGATCCCTGTATGTTAAGGCGAACGACCTCACCAGAAAATGTTACGTCTTGTTGTTTACATGTGCGGTCACCCGAGCGGTCCATTTAGAGTTAGTGACAGACATGTCGACAAAGAGCTTTCTGTATGCCTTTCGCAGATTTGTGTCGCGGAGAGGGGTATGCCGCGTCATTTATTCGGATAACGCTTTGACATTTAAGCGGGCCTCAAAAGAGCTAAGTGAACTGTGGAAGACACTCCGACACCCTGATGTGTTTCAGCATTTTGCCAATGCTGGCATAGAGTGGCGATTTATTGTCGAACGAGCGCCGTGGTGGGGAGGTTTTTATGAGAGGCTCGTGCGCTCAGTAAAGGTGTCATTGAGGAAAGTGATCGGAAAGAATTGTCTGGGCGCGGAGGAATTGGCCACGGTTCTCACCGAAATTGAAGCCGTGGTGAATTCGAGACCATTGACCTTTGTGTACAACAAGGTGGGAGAGGGCGACCCTCTCACGCCGGCGAGCTTTCTAATCGGTAGACGGCTGACGGCGCTGCCGGCGGCCGGGGGAGAGCCGCTCGCTTCGACACCGGAGACTCTTCGCGGTCTGTGGCGAAAGCGAAAACGGATGATAAATTTATTTTGGGGGACGTGGGAGGCGGAATACCTCCGAGAACTGAGATCTGCTTATACTAGTCACCAAAAGCAGTCCCCTCCGCCCCGAGTGGGCCAGTTGGTCCTTTTGAAAGAGCCACTTCCACGACTGCTTTGGAAGCTTGGAAAGCTTGAGAAGGTATTTTATGGACGCGATGGAAAGGTTCGTTCATGCGAGATTCGCGTACATCGCGGTACAGTACTGCGAAGGCCAGTGCAACTAATCTACCCCCTAGAAATGACGGAACTCTAGAATGTGCTTGCGCCCATTCGGTGGGGAGTGTGTTGGAACTTTCGCGAGGACGGCATCGGATTCCCTCTGCGGAGAAGATGCACGCGAGGAGCGAGCTGAACCTCGCACCAAGGCTTGTCTCGGCGGAGACGATTTACAATCGCGCGCGGGGGTCGAGATGTAAACTTCGTACCCGCAGCGGCCGGATGCAGCCGCGAAGATCAACAGCGGGGAAAATGGAGACGGACAGAACGAAAGCTGGAACGCTACCGATCGGAGAACGAGAAAGTGGCTCGTCTGTTTGGAACGTGTGTAGTGTGTGTAGTTTAAAATAAAAGTGTTGGGGTTTGTTGAGACTGATCGATATCTCGGAACGCCAAGAAGCAACAATTCCCTCAACAGTGTCCCGAGGCGCCGAGGTTTGTTTGCTAAGAACCGAGAGTGAGCGTGTTAGTGTCCGCAAGTTCCCTACCAAATACTTTTTCCCTCCTTTCGTGTGCGGCGAGACCCCTCATTCTTTAACGGCGTCGGCGGGTTGGCGCAGTTAACGTCGTCTGCTTTACGTCTGTTAGTCAAAGCAATGGCTGCTTTACCTTTCCTGCGTCTGTCGGAGATTCACCGTTTTTTCACGGGCGAGAGTCACCGTTGCCTCGGGAAACAAGGATATAACATGAGGAAGAAATTGACCTCTTAATCTATAATTGAGGTCAGCGATCAAAGTATAATACGGGAAGGGTTCACAAGGGTCGCGCGGGCATATTCCATTCAGCACGCCAACCTGACGTGGGCAGACGGCCGCCGAGTCGCGGAGTGCCTGCTAGGCCTAACTGCCGTGATCGCTTGGTCGCGTTCGGTGGAATCGTGGCCGTTGGAGCTTTTCCCGGGTGTTTGTGGATTCAGCGTTCTTGTTCGTCGTGGTCTGTTTCAAGTACTTTTTACTTTCTCCTTGCTGCTTGAAGTCGGGACGCGTGAGAAGCGCACGTAGAAAAATAAACGTCCGTCGGTCGTCGTGACCGCGACGCTGTCGGCCATGCTGATTTGATCGTAAGAGGTGCGGAAGACAGTTTCGGAGCTGTCGTAGGATTTCGGCGTAACCTGCGCAAAACTTAAGAGAATTTCGTTTCGTGAATACGAATTTGTTCTTAAGTTTTGTCTTACGCACATTTTTGGCGTAAGATCGTTTCGTGAATCTGGCCTCTGCATTTTCGAAAGTCACAGGAAAGGTGAGACAGACGCAGACGACGTTGCGAGCAGACGACGTTGCAAAGGAGCAGACGACGCTCAGATAAGGGGTCGGGATCAGCCAATCAGGGCTCGGCGTTCTGACGTCACCGCTACCCCCTGCGCAAGAAGCAGACGAACTTGCCCTCCGCATAGGAAAGGAGAACTGAATAAACCTTTTAGCGGTGTTCGAGACGTTGTCTTCCTATCACTTTGCCTTTCTCTTCCACGTTTTGATGCTTTATAGTTTTCTCGCTTCCAGTCTCGGGTAATTTAAAGAAATGGTTTTCTGTTCTTGTTATTCTTTTTTTTCGCGTGACATCTGCAAGCAAGGTGGGTGAGCGTCATGACGCGCAGCTAAAACGTGACCTAAAAATATTCGCATTTGCAGGCCAGTTGAACTAAAAAAAACTTCAGAGATACGATACTTTCGTTTCGAAGCAAAATGACGGGAACAAACCTGGACAAACTTGATGCAAGCCGAACGCCCGATTGACTCTAGCCAAATCGCTCGCAAATTCTTACCTGTACTGGTATCTTGTAAGTATTGAAACCATGGTTGCAAGCACAAGATCCGCCCAATTCACAGAGCAGCGAGGCCGCTTTTACGGGTACCAATATCTTTATTCAGCATCAACACGGGCAACGGAACAGATCAACGCAGATCAACCAACATAGTTAAAGGCCAGTCCCGCTACCGCCCGCTACGAAGCCAAGCACCCGCACAGCGCCAACAGCGCTTCCGAAGGGTGTACTTGCGACAGTTGTTTGATGAAAACTAGATTGGTTGAGGAAATCTTCTAAAGACCTCGGTGAACGCAGAACGACTCGCACTTATTAAAATAGACGAGCTGGACGAATTGCTCTCGTTGATCACTCCGCAGACGCTGCCATGTTTTGTTATTGTTTAAAAATGAAGTGGAAACGCAATCTTCGGATATTTTTTAAAGCAATAATGAATATATGTAGACCTATTAGTTTTATCACACATAAAAAAATAATGTTGATATAAATACTATTACGGCACGAAGAAACCATTTTATAACGAACATTTCACACATAAATCATCTCTCCAACCAATAAAAGCTGAGAAAAGGTGCTTAGCTTTGTAAGCACCGGACGGGGCCTAGAGACGGGCTACCCCCACCTAAATTGTGTCCAACCGCGTAAGTATTGCTAAAAAAAATTTTAGAGTAAATATTTACAAAACAAAAAGATTAAACCCTTTGAAATCCTTTTTTTCGTTTTTTTACACTTCAGTGTTCCTTTAAGCTACATGTAGGTAACTATAATCGGGAAACCCTTGTCAGGGAATGAAAGAAAAAAAAATTTGGTTGGCAATTTGATCACGCTGTTGTGTGATTACTCAGCTACGAAAGCACCTAAAGTTGTAAGAAAGCGAGACTACAGATGACTCGATTGGCAGTAGTGTTTCTCGTGTCTGCGATCATTGTTAATTGCCTGTTGGCCTGAATTCGGGCATACAAATAGTTGTGTAGTGGTACTTCTATAGGGTGTTTGAAATAACCGTGGCTCGATCTATATGAGCCGTAAAAATCGGAGCCTGGACGTAGCAATGTAAAATATTCCTAAAAGGTGTATTATACAGGTCGGTTTTATCTTGTAAAATTACATAGCGTAGCAGCTACCTTTCTGTAATAAATAGGGCCAAAAAACTTGCCAGGGTCAACGGCTAACGGCCACGCAACCGACCGACTCGACTGGTGGGGCGCATTTGGCGCACATATTGATAGATGGCGCTACCTCCTTATCGAAACTGCTCGCAAAGACCGTGGTCTACTCAAATGAACATAAAC